TCCAAAACACATAACGAATAATTCATTTCACATTTTGTGAGATGGATATCGGGTACACATAAAAAGCAAAAATATAAAATAAACAACAATTAAATCATATTAACAATTATAAGGATAATTAGCTAAATAAGAGAGCATTGAGGAGAGCATTAGTAATTAAGTGAAGCGAAAACTTTTAATATCAATTTTGTTCAACAAAATTGTGATAAAATTATTCTCGAACTCCAATTGAAGTCTAATAATGAAAGTAATGATTTGACGTCCACTTAATGTCTACTAAAGTGCTGTTTCTTTTCCACACTCTCTCCCAATCTTTGGTGCAAAACAAATATCTTTTATACACTTATAATAATATAATACAAGTTTCGGCTCTAAAAAGCAATAAATGACTCGATATTAAGAAGTCGTTTTGGGCTTATATTTTATTACAAACATCTTAAGCGTTCATTCAATGGTTGGGGAGAGAGGGAGGGAGGGATGGAAGAGAGGGCGAGTGAGGCGTACAAATAATGAGCGAAAAATATTAGAATCCAAACCATTTAATCGGTTGGCAGTCAATGGTCTGGCAATGGGTTGCCGTCTAATCATATTATTACCTGAAATTGACATTTGCTTTGCTTTCCTCTTTGTTTCTCTCACTTGAAAACCTCTCTATTATCTAATATCTAACTAATAAAAGTCAATAAAAAAATTGTTAAAACCTTATGTGTAGTGAAAACCATTAATAGCTATTAAAAAGCGTTCGCTTTTATATATTCTTGAATAACAACAAAAAATTCGTTATCGATTGTAGGGTTTAATACTGTATATGCTTTTAATTTCAAGTAACGCTAAACCTCAATGTGTAGTACACTGTAGTGTGTTATATGGCGTAGAAATATATATTAAGACAATAATAATAATATATTTATATCCAGAGAAAAAATGGGAACAAAAATTCACGTGAAATATAATACTGTTCGGGAGGTTTAGGATTTCAAACCTACAAAATATATTATATTTTGCCATAAATAATAACCACAAACCACCGCAACATATAATTCTTGCATACATTCAATGCATGTGTATATATAAAGTAAAGTAATATATTCCTAAACCTTAACTTAACACCAAATAAAAAACAATTAAAACAAGTGAATAGAAAGAGACCCAAAAATAAATGGTTTACGAATACTAATACCATTGAAGAAAATGCTAACCGTTTGGACAAATACTCAACGCTTCATAAGAAGAGGTCGTAAAAGGTTTACCGCAAGAATTACGAGCCAAAGAAAAGTCAAGTCTTTTTATTTATTATTATTTATATAATGGATTGTTTCGTATATGAGTTATACAAGAAAACCGCTATTTTTTATTTCAAACGATTCCTCATATTTGTTATAAATTATATTAACATTATTTTTACTCAACAAAAAGCATCATTTGTTATAAAAACACAGTCTCTCTCTCTCTCTCTCTCTCTCTCTCTCTCTCTCTCTCGTGTTAAATGAATGAGTGCATCAAATATCGGGTTCTCTAGCCATGATGTTTCTGGTGGTGTGGGTCTGACAGTCAACATGAGTCCATGTGCTATGAATATTACATATTAAAGCATATATGCACACAACCATACATTGATGTTGGTTCTGGTGCTGCTCTGCCAGTGCTCTCTCGCTGTATATATTGAGTACAATCTAATAAGAAATTGCATTTTGCGCGACAAAACACTATACACTGAATATATATATATAAAACTCATAAATAATATCTGAGAAGAGCCGCTGATGTGCACTGACTAACAGATCCAAAAAGGCCTACCAGTGCTGATAAAATGTAAATCATATAATAAATACAAAAAGTAATTCATGAAAAACTTTTTCATATATTTTTATCCGACAAATGCATGGATTCGTTGCAGACATAGAATAAAGAAATATTATTTACATTTATAAAAATGACCGCAAATTTTCAAATCAATTTCTTTTCCCTTAAAATAGCATTTTTCGGATAAAATTATAATTTACGCAAAAATTATAGATATTTTCGCTATTGATTACAAAAGAGCGACGAATACTTACAGACAGAGAGAACACAACAAGAAATCTCTGAATAAAAATCTCATGAAATATTCATAACGTATAAAAAGTTATTAAAAGAGATATTCGAAGGAAAATCAAGTTTTTCGACGAGAGAGAGAGAGAGAGAGAGAGAGAGAGAGAGGCTAGTTTGAATTGGTTTTATTTTTTATATACTTTTTCTTTCTATGTTTTTTGAAGTCAAAAATGGTTCACTACTGTATGAGTCCAGTGAATGTGTTGACAAACTTATCATTTTATTACTGTTGGAGAGAGAGAATTCACGAGAATTACATACATGAAAAAATGCAACTTTTAGTCTCTATAATAATCGCTAGTAATATATGTTTCTTAATAGAAAATAAGGAAAAAACATTCATTTCCAACATTTTTTAATAAATAACTTCGACAGCAATAGAGCTAATAATTAAAACTATTCATTCATTCAAAATCTCTCCAACAGTAATAAAATGATAAGTTTGTCAACACATTCACCACATTTGCAACAAATATCTAATCAGTGTTTCAAATGGTATATAAGAAGAAAACTCAGGAATAAATTTATTTGAAACCAATTTATTATAAAATATAAAGATAACGAAAAACATAAAAATAAAATCAATAAAAAACATGTAATTATAAGCTTTCAAAGCGTCAAAGTCTCCATCAATTCAAACAACTATTTCAAGAAATATTAAAATGCAGTTTAAATTAATTTTAATTCGTTTTTAATTGTTTTTCTTGTATTCAAACATTTGAAACATTGTTCACAGCGACTAATGTCTCGCTCGGGTATGTCTTAGGCTATGGCAGAGCTCACCTTTGGTTGAGAATAAGGGAGATTCTCATATGAAAGTCATATTCACTTTAAGAAGTCGACAGTTGTAGGCCTAAAGGTAGAGCTCCGGGTGTTGGGCACACAGATCAGGGGGAGAGAGAGTTAGCCTCTAGTAAACAACTTTTGTATTTTTCAGCGCATTTATGCCATAACAGAGACTGAATGAGAGAAACATAGTTTTTGCTAAGAAAAAGAGTGGAGAGAGAGAGAGAGAGAGAGAGAGATGGCATTTTGGTGAATCGTTAAGTCCTTGGCTGGGTTTTCAATACTACATCCCAGTGCGAGTGCGAACCGCACCCATTATCATAGAGCAGAAGAGCACCAGTATTTGACTGAACCTTCAATACTACGGAGAGTGCATATAATATCATTGAATACATGAGTGTCTATAGACAGGCAGTTATGAAAATGCATCCATTTTTCCAATACCATAGAGTAGTGGTAAGAAAGCATTGGGTTTGTGAGGCACCGACCGACTCAAGACATGAATTTCAATCACAACTTTCCTTTCAAGAGTCACGAGAGAGAGAGAGAGAGAGAGAGAGAGAGAGAGACTTTAGGCCTACAACTGTCGACTTCTTAAAGTGAATATGACTTTCATATGAGAATCTCCCTTATTCTCAACCAAAGGTGAGCTCTGCCATAGCCTAAGACATACCCGAGAGAGAGAGAGAGAGATCCGTACAAAAGGGCATCTAATGAAGTAATACATTGCGAGCAAACTTAACAATTGTTATAACAATAACAATAATAATATGAATAAATACCTAAAAACACATTTCAATAAAAGGTACAAAAAATGGTCAAAAATGGTTCACTACTGTATGAGTCCAGTGAAGCGTCAGTACACCTAAAGGGAAGCCGCGATTCTGTCAGTCAAATCTATGTGACAGATAGGACTCACACATAAATATGAGCGCCTTATGGATTGAGGGGCTCTCCTCTCGAGACCTAATTCATCAAAGCTGTGATGGGATACCACTGCCATTACCTCACATGTGTCACAGCTATGAGATAGTGGTGTGTGTGAGTGAATGCAACAGTAGGGACAGTATGTTAGCGAACAGTACATCTATTTTGCATAAGAAATGAAAGTGTCGGCAGTAATGGCGCACATCTCTGAACACATCTCCACTTCCTCTCAAATCAGTCATATTTAAGTCGACGAACGCTTTTTTGCTCGACTTCTGTCAGGGGTTCGGAGGGGTCGGGGCTTAGGGGCTGACACTCAGATGTGCTGAGATGGAGAGCAACTGTGCGCTAAACAGATATGTTTGTGTCAAATGCTAACTCGCATTTCTAATCAAACAAATATTGTTTGATATTTATGTTTTAAAAAAGTTTTTGCGTATATTTAAACTACAAATATTTTAAATTAAATTATTTAAAAAATTCTTCATAAAAGTAGTAATAAAATTATATACAACTTCAGTGCATAACTTATAAAACGAGAATAATTTTTAAAACTAATAATTTAAGAATTAATTAAAGAAATATTTTTCCAAAAATACTTGTTTTGCAAAATTCTCGATCAAATAAATGGATATAAAAATATATATTTAAGATTTACTTAAACCCTATGAGAAACAGAACTTATATTTTTGACCAAAAATCGTTTCGTTTCGTAAAATTAGGAATTATTGTAAATCTGCGGGAAATGAGAGTTAAAGAAACAGCTGTAAAGTCAAAGTTAGAGTAGTTTTGCAGTGCATTGTATGGGGGCTGAGGGGAGAGCGATGTGAGAGATGTGGTGAGAGAGTGAGTGTACGCGCGATTCACGAGGGAGAGGGAGCGCCGCGAAATGGCTGGTATTCAACACTGGACTGGCATTCAATCGCCTCATCGGTTACTCTATCCCTCTCTCCCATCGCAACCAGAAGTGAGGGAATAGTTCACCAGAATTTGAACCCAAAAATAATAGGGTTTCCAATAGAGGGGGTTCTCCTCTACTTTACATTATATATCAACACATTGAACAGCTTTCGCATACAAATACATAATACATTTCTGTGTCACCAATAAATATAACACTTCATAGATTTTTAAAAACAATGCAATGTTTTTAATATTCCTTAAATGATAAGCAATGATACTGTAATGACAGGCAACTAGTATTTGGTCCGAAAAAGAACTGTTAAAATCATAACAATAAATATACAGAATTTTTAAAACTCAGAAAAATGGTTTATAAGATGTTGTGATCAGTGATCGACAAATGCATGTAAAATGCTTGCATAATATAGTGAATGTGTGTTTACCTGTCTTCTCCTTGATCTCGCACAGGACGCTGAAGAGCGCCGGTTTCATGCGATGACAGTTCAACGTATGCTTCCTATTATAGCCAATATAAGTGTTAATATTATTTTGCAATTAAAATCAATACTTAAATTAAATGCAATTTTAATTAATAACTTGAAATGAAACAAAGTTTTTGTGTGTGTTTTAAGAATGAAATATTTATTTTTATTATTATTTATGGCTATATCTGAATCTGTGTTAAGAAATAATAATAAATTTTCCATAAAATACTATCAATAATATAATAAATAATATCTGCGAGTAATTACTGCAACAGTGAAAAGAGTTTGCAATTAATACATATATCAACCAATAAATCATAAAAACAAATAAATCACTTTTAAATATCTATAAATTAATAATCATTTTTGATGCCATCAAATCGTCTACAAAATATCAATACTATTAAAATAACAATAAATGCATTGACTGTCAGATACATGACAAACAAAGCAAATAAATAAATCGCTACAAATAAATAGTGAGAAAAATATTAGGAAAGCATTAATAATTCAATGGATTATAAATAATACAAATAATTGATAATTAATTACAATAAGAAAATTAAAAGTTTTTAAAGGATTTAGAGTATTATAGAAATGTGTAAATGTTGTGAATATGAATAATAATTACAATATATATAATAATAATAATAATTAAAAATAATAAATGGATAATAAAATGGGAATAAAAACCTGTTATTTGTTGACAATACAGACCTGGCCTGAGCCTCATCGAGACTTTGGTCAGTTATGTTCATAATCTGTTGCAATATTTCCGAAATATCGTGTTTGCGGGCCTCGCCGTCGGCCACGGCATTGCCGGCGCCGCCGGTCGGGTCAACGGGACCGCCGAGACCGTAGCCGTGAGGGCCCTGAGGCACCACATGGGCCGACATTTGCTGTGACACCGCATGCATTATCGACAACGACGAGTGATTGTGTGGGTTATCGTCCATTGAATTGGTCTCTAAACACACAACACATTCATACCAATCGACACAACGATTGATTCAATTCTGTCACTAATGTCTCAAAACGATTCAAATCCAGAATTCAATTCACAAATACACGAGATATTAATTCTCTTCAATGGCTTCGCGTGTCTTCACCGGTGATAATGGCGTCGATTTCACCACAAATTCATCCGACAATTAAATGCCACACAATTAGCGGTTGACGCGAATCGGGTCTTCAAACCAAACAATGTTTTGCTTCGGCGGCAAAAATATGTCAACAATAATACACCGCTTAACTGATCCGACGGATGAGTGGCTGTCAATCAATTGGTGATTACAAACTCGATGGCAATCAAATCAATTGATCCGCGATATTGAAGACATGCACCGAAAAAAAACAATAACAACATTAATAATACACACAAACACTTCACACGTGAAGTACTGTTACGAGCAGTATATCAATCAATCAATTGGTCATATGATTGGGTGATCGACGACAACAACAATCACCGCAACTAATGATAATCACGTCAACCACTGATACCACTATATAATAGACGAGTTGTCCAAATCGGTGGACCAGTTCTTGAGGTGCGGATGAGAGCGACAATCACTGCTATAATATGTAAACAGAGTTTTTGTTTATGTTTTGAAGTCACAAACGAATGGCTGAATTGGATGTTGTGTTTCGTCCAAGAGATGGATGGGATGTGTCTTCTGGTGAGGACAAGCGATGGCACGATTGA